CAGTTGTCATCCTCAGAATCATCATCATTCCCTGCAGATGTTTAAGAACGTAACTCCCCAGAAATGAAGTGAACTTGGGGCATTCTGAAGAGATCCATGTCCCTACCTAGCCATCCACAAGAAGTCCAGGATGTATGGAAAGTCATATCAAGCTATTCCTCCCCATCAAGACTAAAATTCAATCCCTAACAAGACTATAACTCAATTCTCGAGTTTTCAAGCACCAATATGTATTGGTATCTCAAGACAATGGGCAACAGACCCCAATGGGCTTAATATTTGACACTCTGCATATAGTAATCATCATTGCATATTACATTACATCCTCAAACGCGTAGCATATCCATTGAAATGGATCATTATGCCACACATTTCAAAATGCATATGAAGCATAAGCCAGATTTGGTACCTTGCACAAAAGCCCCAAATTAATCCTCAAAACAGTAAAACATCCATACAGAGAATGCCATCCTCACAATTCCCAGTTAACCTCCATCATTACACTACAAACCAAAAGAGCCACGGTACCAGTACATTGTTCTCCCAACTCTCAATACACTTTGTCAATCTTTTCTGGGGTCGTAGATCGTCCACAGATCATACCCTCATGTTATCTTCTCTTGGTCATAGAACATACACTGATCTTTAGCCTTTCCCTTTCTTTTTGGGTTGTGAATCCTACACGATAGATTCTCCGCTTTCGGAGATTTTACCTGTTTGTCTTACTTTTCTTTTTGGGTCATGAATCCTACATGATAGATCCTCTGATGTCGTCGATTTTACCCATTTTCTTTACCTTTCTTTTTGGGTCTTGAATCCTACACGATAGATTCTCCGTTATCAGCGATTTTACCCGTCGTCTTTACCTTTCTTTTTGGGCCGTGAATCCTACATGATAGATTCTCCGCTATCGTCAATTGTACCCGTTGTCTTTACCTTTCTTTTTTGGTCGTGAATCTTACATGATAGATTCTCTGCTATCGTCGATTGGAGCCGTTGTCTTTACCTTTATTTTTGGATCATGAATCCTACACAATAGATTCTCTATTGTCGTGGATTGTACCTGTTGTCTTTACCTTTCTTTTTGGGTTGTGAATCCTACACGATAGATCCTCCGCTCTAGTCGATTGTAGCCGTTGTCTTTACCTTTAATTTTGGGTCGTGAATCCTACACGACATATCATCCACTATCATCGATTGTACCTGTTGTCTTTACCTTTCTTTTTGGGTCGTGAATCTTACACGATAGATTCTCCGCTGTCGTCGAGTTTACCCATTGTCTTTAAGTTATCATGTTGTCATTAATCCTACTTTCAGTCACCACGACACCATCAACCATATGTTTTCAATCACTATGACACCCACTTCAACAAGAACCTTGTATTGGCACCATTACCCTGTTACAAGCAATCACTACTCAACTACATTTATCCATCATAACCATTTCACCAGAAACTGAATTTTCTATCCCCAGCAGACATCACATATCATAACAGTTACACCATCTCTCTAGGACAAATTTCACGTCTTGGTATTTAATCTTCTTCTACCTTAAATGATCGAAAGTCCGACACCAATGTCACTTTCAGGTTTAAAACGATTAAATAGAGGGAGATGTCATACCCCAAATTTTTCCTACCCTTTTCACTTTTATCTGGCTTAGGCTTTGCATTTCATTTGCACCATTTTTGCGAGGTCATTTGCATATTATTCTTTCATTCAATAAAACAGGGGTTCAGAATCAGAGGTTGTGCTAACAAGGTTTTAATTTTGGTTCGAGGATTCAACATTCTACAGTTGATTTCCTTGGTTCCTCCTTGGGCAGTGGACAGTGGAATCAGGTTTTGAAGTATGGTTATCATGAGATTCTTATTCATCTATTTTGTTTGTCAAAGGACTAGGGTTTCGAATCCATGGTTATTGTGAAATTCTTCTTTCATCTCCTTCAAAGATATCTCAAGAGCAGGATGTTAGGGTTATCTCCTATATTTTTCAACCGAGAAGATTTTGAACCAAGGTTTTTGTGGATTCTGAACATCTCAAGTCACTTTCTTCATTCAATGTGCATCTCAAGTGAGTTAGCGTTATGCGAGTTCCCTCCATCATCAAGTTACTTTCCTCCTAATCTTGCGCCCAAGAAAATTAATATTCCCTAGTCATGGTGTTTGAGATTGTTAGCAGTTCAACGGAGATTTATTAGACTTAGTTTTACAGCGATATTCCTTTCTTTACTTCAAGCCTTAGCATTGCATCTTTAAAAGTTCTTCAAGGCATGAGTTTTGTGTCAAGGGCATAAAGTAAGGATTATATGAAGGATCTATGGATTCAATTGCAAGAGATAAGTCATAGCATAAGAGATAAATTCTTGGATTCATTTTCTTTTCATTGTTACTTTTTGATTGCAACAAGTCAAAGTTTGAAGTTCATTAAGAATGCAAGATGATTGGGCTGGAAGTTATCCATGTTTTTCCGTAAATTCAAAATGAATGATTGAAAAATTTGGAAAATAAGTTGCAAATTTCAAGGAATACACCCTTACCTAAAATTTAAGGTTCAAAGTTCAAGTTTCATTCAAATTACCCTCATCATTAATCAACTTTACTCTCAAGGCCAAGTATAATTTCAAGTGTCCAAGATTCATCAAATATCATTCATCATCAAATTACATAATTCATCATTAGTTCAAGTTCATTATAAATTACATGGAGCCTGTCATACCTAAATTTTTGACCTAAGATCCCATCTTCATTTGCATTGTTTTATATATATACATCAAGGTCACGAAATATGGTCGATTTCGAACGTTTCACCTTCGAGCTTTGATTGTGCAGAGATTATAGAGTGTTGTGAGCATTTTATCTTATGAATGACTAACCACTAATCAAGCACGACGTGTATGTTTTGTTTTTTTGATTTCATGTGCAGGAAATAGGTCTGAAAGAAGAGCATCGGACGCCACACTTCAATTAGGGTTTCGAGTCTCAGAATAGAAATGCAGTGGATCGTTGATTCTCAAAGACTGGTTCATCAAAAGAACTTTCAGAGAATCGTGTGCTTATTTCCATGCTCTATCTAACAGATGGCCTCAAGTGTCTATGAAATTCTTCAGAAAGAACAGTCAAATTTCTATTGCCATTGGTTCATGTGTGTTTCACATTGCCTTGAAATACAAGAAAAATCAAGCTATGCAATTCAATTCCGACCATTTCAACCAAAAGTCATTTTTCAAGTTTTCTCATGACGCGGGGCGAATTTCGTTTAAATGGGATGATTAAATTCAAGACCGTTCTGGAAGAATTTATTCGGAATACTTGGAATTTTCTTTATTTGAATTCAAGTGTTAATTAAATAGAAGCTACCAAGAGATCTCATTCAAGAATAATAGTTCATCGCATTAGATATTTATTCAAGATTATTTTGTGTGATTATTTTGGTGGGTTTACATCATGACCATTTGAATTCACATGAAGCATTTATTCAAGAAGATGTTGGAAAAAGAAATTCGATTCAAATAATCGTTTATCACAAGATTAATTACATGATAGTTGCTATTTTATTACAAGATCAATTCATGGAATGTATTTTGATCTCTATTAAAAAATGCAAGATTGAAGTCTTAAGGCTTGCATTATTATTTATTCATCATTCAACAATTCATCCAAGTATCAATCAACTATTTTCCAAATTCAAATGGAAGACTTTGAATTTTATCAAGACATATAAAGATTCAAAGTTGTTTACAATTACAAGTGAATTAAGAATTATATTGAAGAATAAGTACTCAATCATGTTACAATTTATTCAAATTATTATTACAGAGTTACAAAAGAAATTAAAGTTTGTACATGAAAATCAAGCTATTATTTCTTGCTCCAATAGTAGCCTCAATAGCCCCAATGAATCCCATTTTCCAGCACTATTTTAATATAATAACAATCCAATTCTTGGGTATTTTGCTATCCAAAAACAGTAGTAGAAAACAGTCTCAATATTGTTCTTTTTTTCCAGACTTGTTCAACACAAACCAATCCATTTTTGTGGTATTTTGCTGTAAAAAAATCTGTTGTAAGTCAGTCCCAAACAACTTGCAAATCAGTCCAAAATAGCTCTATGCAGTCTGCTCCAACCTGCATCATAACAACCACAAATTTTCATTAAAATGGCTAAAGAAAATGGTGTGAAAAAAGTATCAAAATAGTAGGCAAAAACAATTCAAAAACTCATCAGTTTTGCCTCCAAATCTCACTCCAATGTACCTATAAAAGAACCTTGTATAAAGACGAAGAGAGGAAGAAAAATGAGAAAAAACACATACAGAAAATTCAAAGGAGAAGAACAGCAAAAACTCAGTAGAGAGGAAAAAATTAGAAGAACATAGCAAATTCAAGGAGAGAAACTTACTGTCTTTTAGAAGCCCCATCGGAGAGGCTCCGATAGGTATTTTTTTTCTTCTTCCTCTCTATCTACTTCTGTATATATTCATGTTTGAATCATCTTTTGCGCCATACGACGTTTTCCTTATCATACCTTCTTTGCTATATTTTCTTTGAGTTGCTGCATTTTGTTAGCATTTAAATTTGTCTAGAATTAATAATAATAATAACAATGCGGATGAAATGTACGACAATAACAGTACCATATTTATCAGCCTCTTTCAACCTTTCTTTAATTTCTTTGGCCAAGTCAAACATTCCAGTTTCTATTTATCATATATATAAACCAATTGTTATTAGTTATTACAACTTGCAAGCCAGAAAAATACCTCAGCTAAAAAAACAGATTTGAAAATATTAGAACAATAATAATAATGAACGCAAATTGTCGTGCCGCCACATCCGGATACTCCCTCTATTCATTTCCAGCAGCAACATCAACAGCACCTGCAATAACAATAGCTTAGCCTTTTACCAAAACAATGGAGCCGACAGAACAACACAGAGAAATTCATAAAAACAGTTTAGCAAACCTGCTTCAAACACCCAATTTCCGCAAGCAGACCCTCACATTGTCTTCTTCCACGAACTCCACTGTAGCAGCTTTACCCAATAGTGCAAAATAATTGATGCTTCATCTATACTTCCACACGTTCCTTGTCCCTCTGATTCAGAGGTCCGCGACACCTTCATCCAGTGCCGCTCCAACCATCCTCCAGTTCCGTCATCACCGTCATCATGCAAACGCCAACAACACCCACCTGCTAAAGGAAAACAACAAAGAGAATAAAATAGCTAGAAAAGAAAAGTCGATAAACAGTAGCACTCTGTCCCATTTCAAATAATCAAACCGCGACCCGAAACAACTTCTGAAAACCTATCACAAAAAACCATACAAATCTCAAACAAAATAAGCATCTCTTTCTCAATTAATTTCTGCTGTCCGTGCATCACTTTCCTTCGCTTCAACTTGGATTTCAAGGCACCACAGAGCTAAACACTTCCATGCCGGAATCACCGGCTACGCTTTTAATCATACACTTTCTAGACGCTATTCCTCTTGACACCCTTTCTCAACCCTTAGCTTATTACGGCGCTTCCTCTGTTGCCCTTGGTTCTCCTTTCACATTTTCCACTACGTTAGAGAAGGAGTACAAGAGTGACATCTTTGGAGAGAGAGGAATTTTACTAGGTGCTATTCACGGAACTATTGAGTCCTTTTTTAGAAGATACACTAGAAATGGAATTAGTGAAGATTTGGCTTATAAGAACACCGTTGAGTCCATAACAAGAGTAATATCTAAAAACCATCTCAACTCAGGGCACCGTTGGTTGTATACAATCCTTTTATCCCTTCTTGGAAATTTTGTATGAGTGCTACGAGGATGTAGCCAGCGGTAGTGAGAGTCGTAGTGTTGTTTCCGTTGTTCGTCGATTTTACGAGAAAAAGGGTCTTACCTTCTGTTATACACGAAACTCCCAAATTTGTGGTTGCACAATACACTTCTAGTTAGTTCATTACTCAGAGAGAGGTTGTTAGTCGCGAAATAAGGAAGATATTGACTGAAAGGGCATCACAATCTAACATTGCTTTGGACGATGTTTCAATCACAAGTTTGACATTTTGGAGGGAATTCACAGTCGCAATTAGGGCCAAGCAGGTTGCTGCTCGAGAAATCAGAGAGAGTTTGTGAAGAGTGATTTGAATGAAGGTGACTTAGTGAGAAGGAGAAAGTAGATTGAAGGGAAAGAAAGAGAATCTGTGATTAGGGAGGAGAGTGTTTCATTTTTAATTTTATTTCCAATACAGCATAAGAAAGAAGAGTTTACAACAATAATATTTAATTCTATGAATTTCCCATCCTAATGACCATCCCGCGGCGCTGTAGTTTAGGTTTACAAAACACTTCTTTGTTTCTTTCCCAACCGGGTCAGGCCTTTTGGGCTTATTGGCACAATCGCTCAACCATGTTCCCTTATTTATCAATTATGTCATAATAATAAATGAATAATAATCTAGTACAGTTGACAAAGCATATCAGTTATAACCTAAAAGGCCTGAGCTTGATCCCTACTGGAGTATTTTTATGTTCTTTTCCTCTTTTAAGTTATATATATATATATATATATATATATATATATATATATATATATATATATATATATATATATATATATATATATATATATATATATATATTAGTTTAGTTTATTACATAGTTAATATTCATTATAAAACATAAAAAACATGTTATTATAAACTAACCTTTTATTTAATTTTTTGTTAACATGCTACTAATCCTTTATTATTTATTTATTCAAAAAAATACATATTTCATAATTTAGGTTTTGTTATTTATTTAATTGTCTAAAATACATGCTATTTAGTCTGATTTTATTATTTATTTAATTATTCAAAAAGATGCTTAAATTAATCTCTTACTGAATTCTTTTGTCGCTCCAATTAACTTTATTTTTTATTGTTTAATCATTATATATTTTGTCCCTTTTCGATTCCAAGGGAAATATTTTAATTTTATTGACTTCATGTCATCAAAAACATATTTTATGATTGTGTGAATACCTTCATTCATTTTTATTCTATTTACTATTTTTCCAAACTTAAGTGAATTTTCCTAAAAGATTCCATTTTCAAACTCACACCTTTTAAGTCAAAACTTCGACACTAGGTCGTCGTATCTTCAAAATATCATCCAAACAAAGGATTTTTAGCCAAACCAACCACTTTTAGCCGAACGAACTTTTTCAATTAAACAAATAACTTTAATAAAAACAGATATTTTAAAAGGTTCATGCGGAGTACCGCAGATGCATAGGGTGCTAATACCTCCCCATTACATAATGAACCCCCGAACTCTAGATCTCTTTCAAAAACACATTGTATTTTCATTACTTTTAAGTATTATTTTACATTGCACATTTTAGGGTATTATTTCGCTCTTTTCCCTTTTCCCTTGGATATAATAAAGCGCGGTGGCGACTCTTACTTTTGTGAGTCGAGTTAATTAATAGCTCGATCTCCAATTTACCCTGCTACATTTTTTATCGCTACAGAATTGGCGACTCTGCTGGGGACAGATTGACCTCTTGCTGGTCCATCCCTAAGTGGGTTAAGCCTAGTTTGTCTTATGTGTTTTATTATTATTTTATTGTTTGATTATATATATATATATATATATATATATATATATATATATATATATATATATATATATATATATATATATATATATATATATATATATATATATATATATATATATATATATATATATATATATATATTATGGTTATTTGGGTGTTGATGATATTTACAAAGGACAAGTCCTATACCCGGACTAAGTTACACTTAGAAATAGAACGGGTGATATAGTCATGTTAACTTTGAGGGAGTAATCCTGAAGAAGGAGGCATGAAATCCCCCACTCAGTGGAAGCCCCTTTGAATGTAGTATTTATTTACCGAGTAATTGGGAAGACGTTATTGCTTTCGACCTGGGAGCTAGAGAAGTTGAGAACCGTAGAACCCTAATCCATCTTGGTCTTTTAGGTGTAGTGCGGAGACTATAACAGAGTAATCTGGAAGTAGTTGTCACGCGATGCTACACTCAGACGAGTTTCTCTTGAGAATATTGCTAATTATCGAGTAATTGAGATGTTAGTAATATCCGAAGGAGGATCGTAGACTCTTGGAACCTTTAAAACCTTGTTTTATAGGTGCGATTAAACCTTTAGTACATACCTTGGGGGTGGGATTTACCTTTGACTCCATGCTCAAAGAGTTTAACCTTTGAACCCCATGTTTATGAACTTGTGTGTAATTGTTGCATTATCATTCATTCATGCATCCATAAGCATTTTTGTAAACATGTTATTCAAGGAACTTAAGAATGATTTTTGCAGACATCTCAAGTACTATTACTATAGATTTTGGAAAAAGAAACACTCGGAGTTATAGTTTCAAGGAGCCTGAGATTGAAGAGTTGAAGAGTTTGATTCCCAAGATTGAGAACCCTACCGAGTTTCGAAAGAAATATGGATCTATTATCCCTATCATGAAGCGCAAGATGAAGGAAGACATCCTTAGTACGTTGGTCCAATTCTATGATCCATTATATCGATGCTTCACTTTTCCTAATTACCATTTAATGCCCACATTGGAAGAGTATCCCTATATACTTGGTTTTCCAATCACCGACTGTGTTCCTTTCTCTGGTTTAGAAGGGGAACCCAAATTTCAGGAGATAGCAACAATCACCCACTTGAGGAAGTCTGATATAGAAGAGAACATGACTACTAAGGGAGGAATATGAGGCTTACCTGCGCAGTTTTTGTTGAAGAAAGCTCGTCAATTCGCCCAGATAAAGGATATTGTCACCTTTGAAGATGTCTTTGATTTACTTGCTTATGGATTGTTCTTGTTCCCTAACGTCGATAAGTTCGTGGATATCAACGCCATTAGAATCTTCTTGATTGGAAATCCCGTCCCTACATTGCTAGGAGATACCTTCTATTCCTCCATCTTCAGAACTCCTACCAAGATGGGATGATTATCTGTTGTGCAGCATTTCTATATCAGTGATATGTTTCTCATTTACCTAGGTATGATGTTTTCTAGGATCTCAAGAAAGAGCCACGATTTGCGTCAAAAATTATGGCTTTTACTCATTCTTACATATATTGGTATAATCGAGCTTACTACGATGTGAAGATCATTGATAGTTGTGGTGTTTTCCCAATGTGCTTCGTCTTGGTATGAGGGAAGGAATTAACTATAATCTTGTTCTTGCACGCTGCCACTTTGGATACCCAATGAAGGATAAACCAAATAACATTCATTTGAGTGGTTTCTTTCTACAAGAAGGAAAAGATCACAAAGCAGCTAAGGAGGATATTGAAAAGGCTTGGTGTCATATCCATAGAAAGGGGAGAGACATGTTAGGGCATATAGGTGATGTTTCTTTGGAGCCTTACCTTCAATGGTTTTGTGCTAGGGCTTGTGCTCTCAAGATGCCTTTATAATCCAGAGAAACATTTATTCTTTATTGCTAAATCATCATCTACTACTATCCCTATTGAGAACATGAGAGAGTATCGGGAAAATCTGGCTAGAATGGAGTCTAAAAGAGATGTTTGGAAGGAAAAGTATAGTATGTCTGAATACGAAAATAGGGTATTGACTCGACAGCTGAAGGAGAAGGAGGATATGTTTTTTATTCAAGATGGTTGGTTTATTGATCATGATGAGAAGCTTCATCAAAAGGATGCATTACTCAAGAAATATTCTAAGGAAAGAAAGAGAAAGAAGGAAGATTTGGTAGGCGTTACTCCTGTTCCTAATCCATGGAGAAAATTCGTTGATCAACTGGTAGCCGAGAAGACAGAGATGGAAGACTTCTATGAAGATAAGATTAGGAAGCTCAAGTTACAAGTAGCATTTGTTCTTCGTCTGATGATGATTCTGAGTGATCTTTAGTTCCTAGTTTTTTATTACTTATGTCATTTTGTAAAACTCTGTAAGAGGGCTTTATCTTCCAAAGTAGTAATTTATTGCTTTTATTAATGGTTTTTGTTTTCCCAAAGTTGTAATTTACTGCTTTTTATTAATGAAATGGGTTTTTATTGTTCCAAATTCCTTTACCATTGATGTGTGCAAAGTTATCAAAGTTCTAAAGTTCCTTGAAAAACTATCAAAATAAAATCATTTTCATCACATATCATGCATCATACAACATTCAATTTCACATGTTTTCTAGAGTCTTATTCTTGCTTATTTTTCTAATCCGATAGAGCATTAAGCTGTCTCACCGGTATAATACTCGAGCCATTCGTCGAAAGAGAATGGAAGATCTAGAGCAAGAAAATCACGAGCTTCGCGAGGAGGTTACTAATCTTTGTACTGGAATGGAAAAGTTGACTGCTTTGGAGGAAAACTTGATGGCTGCTCAGAATCAGCCATCGACTTCGGCCACTGAGACTCAAGCTCAAACTATTGTGGTTTCTGAGATCGTTATTGCTCCAACATCTTTGGCTAAAGTCAATTCTCTGTAACATCAAATTCCGAAAGGTTTTCCATGGGGCATGCCTTACAATTTCATGCCAGAAGGGCACCAACCTGATGTGCAACCCATGATTCAACCTATTGTGTCCTTTCCTCAACTTGAGACGACTACTGTGCAACCTGTGATCCAGCCTATGGTATCTTTCCCTCAGCCTGTAATGACTATTGCCACTCCCATGGTTCACACTATTCCATATACAAATGAACCCATTTATCATGCTGAACCTACTGAAAGATTAGGCATCTTCGATAGGATGGAGGAGTTTCAAGACCAATTTCAGGAAATGCATAGT